TCTGAAGATGGCACTCTAACAATGAAAAGTTTTTGGCTCTTGTGGAAAAGAAGGAAGAAAGCTGAATGTCAAACTGTTGGAAATGTTAAGAAAAGTTGGCATGTTTAGTCAGTATATTTATAAACAGTGTAGGGTTGAGAGTTTGTTGGCAATGAAGAACAGTCTAATAATGTTTTGTATTCCTTTGTACATACCAGGAATACTGCAGCTCACTCAATTATCTTTTGAGGAAAGGTGCAAATAGGTTTTTCCCACTAAGAGATATTTTTTTACACTTCATAGCATCCCTCCTTTTTAATAGCCCCTGAGCTTCTAGATGGGCTTCGTCATTTCTGTTTATCTGTTGCTTCACGGTCTCCTAATTTTATGGTATATGTGTGAGTTTGGGGTTTTTAATTTTTGAAATCTGTTGCTAAAAATGGACTGATTACACAGTGTAATAGAGTAAATGTGTAGCCAGCTTTGCAGGATGTCCAACCTGTGTCCTTCCTGTCCATTCTAAAGAAATTTGTTCTCATTTGTTCTGTATGGCCACTTGGTTTCATGCCCTGTTTTCAAAGGAAGAGATGAGAACCACAGAGATGAGAACCATGACTGTCTTTTCACAAGTGCTTGCCCACCTCTGTCAGGTAATTTGTTCCTGAATCATGCTTGTGTCAGTTCAGCCAAGGTGCCCTGGCATGGCCGTGTTCATTTATGCCCTTCTTGGACTCCTCATGGAAATTAGAGGGTCACCTTTCCATCCTTTCTTCACATGATGCCAGTGCTGCTCCCACAGATGTTGTGTCCTCTGTGGGCAGGGTCCAGGTGAACCCTGCAGTGACTAAACCATGACTGAAACCATGGCATAAAGCTCTGTTTTATCTGAGTACAAGTGGCAGGAACAGCTGTGTGCTCTGAGCCAAAGCACAGCTGTCAAACAGGCAAAGGTGACTCACGTGGTGATATGAGAACTTGTCAGGACTGAACACCAGAAATCATGGCACAGGGAATGCAGTTATTGAAATGAAGGCTTTAGAAATCAATCAACAAATCCTGACTACCTTGAGAAACCTTGAAGGAGCTTCATTTTCAGGAAGTGGAGCATGCTTGGCCTTGAAATACTGTCTGACAAAAAGATTCTTTTGGGACGCAAAAATGCCTAGTTATCTCAAAATAACTAATCATAAGCCTCTTGCATAAGTCTATGAATTTCAAGTTCTTTCTGGTTCCCCTAGATGAAACCTACCTGCCTCTATATATCTATATAGTCATGAAACTGAAAATAGAAGGAAAAATACATTGTAGAATGTCAGTGTCTGTACCATGTAAAACAAAATATATGGCATTGTTTAAAAACCTATGCCTACTCCAGAAAACACATTATTAATAAACATAAAGAGCCTGACACTGGCAGCTTACATTTCATTTTGTCACTAAAGCCCCAAGTTTCAATGTGTGGCTTCAGTATCTTTTAGAAAGCAATATGTGAGAAATGCTCCATATCTCCTCTGTGGGATGACAACAGAAACACCACTCTAACCTATTTTTGAGATCTGCTTTTTTTCTGAGGGTGAGATTTGTTTGGATTTTTCTCCTTTTTCCTTGACATTTACATAACTACAAGGACACACAGGGTCCTTCAGCAGTTCTGAAATCACTGGGGGTAGGGGTGGTATTTTTGGCTTTGTGGTGATTTATATGATCAGAGGATACCTTTTACAGCTTTTAAAAGTAAGGAAAATTTGTTCCAGCAGGAGCAGACTTCTTAGAGCTTCATACAAGCCATTTGTAAGTTGTTCTTTTGGTAAGATAACCATCCATCATAATTTTTTTGGGCCAAGGTATATTCCTATTGGGCGTGCAATGCAAGCATAGCAAGGCCAGTGTGAGTACTCAGTTTGATTAATCAATTCAATTAAGATAGGTAGCAGCAGTTAACATTCTGTTTTGTGGTGCTGGAGCAGTAACAAAACAGCTCAGTAACTGGTTTGCAGACCTGATTTCCCCCAGCTGGCCAGAATCTGCACAGTCCCAGACCTTCCTGGCCAGCAGGTGATGAAGTTCATCACTTCCCAGTGCTGTCCCAGTGTTATAAGAGGAGCACTGGAGGCCAAAGAGGCACTGCCAGGAGCTTCCCAATGCCTGTGGGACAGCCAAGCCTTGGCTCTGCATCAGGTCACTTTGGTGTCATCCAGGCAAAACCTCAAGGCTTGGCCATAGGGTGCTCACTGCAAGAGCAAGGTCCTGGTTTGCGGGCGGCTTGGGCATGCTGGAGTCACAGCCACGAGCAGAGCACAGCCAGCAGGACACACTGGAGTGAAGGATTGCAGAGCAAGGCATGATGTCTTGCCTCGGTTCTCTTGCTAACAGGCCAGTAAGAAAAATAAGTCCCTTGTGATTTATGCTTGCAGAGTAATCTCCCCAGTAATGTGAAATATCGTGGTTCAAATGGGTAAGAACAATGATGGCTGTTACTGCTTTTGACAGGCAATGGGTTTGGAGCTTGGTGATGAATTGCATTCTGTCTGAGGTTTGTTCAGCCCACTTATCTTCAGGATGTCATTTTGGGTTTTGGTTTTTTGTCTGTAAGAAAAACATCTTTTAAGTCCTTTGGTTTGATGTTGGAGACTTAACAGTTTCTGTTTGGTAAGGTGTTTTGCTTTCTTGTGATATTTTCTTGGAAAATGGCTCTGCACTGGTTCCTAAGTAAAAGTTTTGTATGTTTATCCTGCTTTGATAAGGTAGAATACTGTTCTTTCTTTTATCTTTAATTTTATTTTAATTGGAGTGCCAACAAAGATACCTAATTACATGAGGAATTTTAGTTTTGACACATTTCAAGCTAAAGTATCACTAAGACACATAAATATGTCTGAATTTCAGACTTGCAATTACATTTAGAGAAGGGAAAACCATATTTTATGTCAGATAACACAAGACTCTCAGATATTGCAGGCATGGAATTATTATCCCTTGACCTAGCTCTGTGAAGTTGGTGGTGAAGAATTTTCTGGAAGGATACAATTTCAATACAATGAATTTCAAATTCAGTTAAGGGTGCATCTTGAAAAGCTTGTCAGGGCTTTGCTTAGTCTCCTTCAGGAACAAATTCTGTCCAGCCTCTCTTAAAGTCTCTCTTGGAATGTGTCAAGGTAAAATATGGGTGGGGTGAAGCAATAGCCAGTGCATGGCTGGGAAAACCCCGTTTTGGCCAGAGGGCTCTGCTTGGCCAATTGCAACAAATAAGCTCAAGGAGAAATGCCAATAACTTGTTTTAATAACTAAGGTCCTTTGACATGGCTGAAGGTGGTAAAACTAAGTCCCAGACTGGCAGAAGAAAGTGTGATTTTAATTGTATTTACATAATCCTCACTGCATTATTAGTTTTGCAATTGCTTTTCTAAAGCCAAACCGTTCAACTACAATAACCCTGCCTTTTTCTCCTGCCTTGGTCCCATTGCTGCATGAAAATCAGCACAACAGGGTCTTGCTGGACTCAGGTTTTGCTCCCTTTTCAGTGAGTGACACCACCTCTTTAGCTGCTTATTTCTTTGGGAAGTAGAGCCAAGCTTTAAGTCCTTAAAATTTCCTCTGCTTCTAATTTCACTGGCGTTGAGTTCTGACCAGTTAATCAAATGTCTTTGGTGCTGCAGGTGCCTCACTGTTTATTTTCATTAGTGTACCAGCTGCTATTTTTAGCTCTTTAGTCTTTGGCTTGAATGAATACCAGCACAGATCTTAAACCATAATAAACATATGTTTTTAACCTTGCCCTTTATTTTTACATCTCTGTATCCAAATAATCAGGATGTGGTTATCTGTGAAGGTAGTAGAGTGCTACTTCAAATTTCAATGCACACCCACATACAAAAATATACATTGTAGAGAGTTCCAGCTTTAAAAACACCCAGGCAGACCTCTGTGTTTATGTCAAGCAATGGCTGTTGCTGCAGGGCTCAGAGACAGTGGCACCAGGTGGTTTAGTGCTTTGACTCTGTCCTTTAATTCCAGTCAACTGTCTGCCTCACCCCTGCAGAGAAACCAGCAGCTTTCTTCCTAACTCCCCATCACCTATGGATAATGATAATGATAATAATAATAATTTATGTGTATATATATTCATATACTCTTTGTGTTTCTGCTCTGCCAAGTGGAGAATCAGCAAGGAATAGCAGAATCAGACTTGAATTATACTCTGGGGCAGGACCTGGAGACAGAGAAAACAGCAAATTAGCAGATGCCTTTGGCAAAAGGCCCCAGCCCAGCTCTTCCTGACATCACCTGAAACACTCCCACCTGGGGAATTGAAGGCACATCAGGTTTTAAGAACTAGATCCAAACAAGGACTCAAACAATGTAGGCTAAACCTGTGTCCAGACGTAACCAAGCACCTTCCTCATCCTGAACTTCCCAAAACTCCCTGCATTATTGAAAGGCTTGGTGGGCATCTGCAGTTCTGCAGCTGTGACACATGGTCAGACCACACCAGTCTCACCAACCCATCCCTCTGCAAGCTCACTGTGAATAATTTTATTGCAGGATGCCATTGGAGGTTGTGGCTCCCACTAAATCATGTTGGGAACTAGCAAAATTCAGCCTTGCCTTCAAGATACTGTTGGAGGGGTACATGACTTCTGTCACAGCTTTAAGCACCTCTCCAGCATGTGGGGAGGCCAGGGGCAGCCAAAGGTCCCTGCTGACAAGTGAGCATGCAGTTCATCTGGTTTTAAGGCAGGTTTGCATTCCTCACTGCTGCTGCAAGGATTGCACCTCTGTGCAGAAAGGAACCAGAAGATTGGCAGAGCTTTGTAGAAGGAGCAGAGGAGGGAGCTGATGCTGCATGCAAGGGTGAAGAGCATTCAGCTGGCATTATCTTTATGCAGTGACTCTGACAGATAAAACTTTTTAACAGCCATGGGGAGAGTCTTCCTTTGTTTTTTACCTCTTTAAGACCTGTGGAGCAAGATTCCTCAGGGGATGCAGCTGTGGAGTAATGTGCAGATTGTTCTCCCTTGCAGATGCTGCAGTTCCAGCTGGTGGTGCTGCATTTGGCCCTGGTGATTGCCCTGCTGTGGTGGAACTCCAGCTCTGTGCTCCTTGCACAGGCAGCTCCAGAGGTGGGTGAAGGTTCCTGAAGGTTCCTGCCCTTCCTTGGGCATGCTTAGCCCCACAGTGAGGAGGACACTGGAGTACCCAAACACTGTTGGAAGGTGTAGGATCAGAATTGACTCTGTGAGGGCCAAGGAGGAGCCTCAGGAAGAGAGAGATGCAAATTGCAAGGTTCTAAGGAACAGACTGAATGAGGCCTCACCCAAATTCTCACAGCCTCTCCCAAACACCTGGGGATTTCCTGTGTGTTAAAACATTGTCCAGTGGATAGAGAACTTCCTGCAGAGGGGAAGGAGGTGAAGGAAGAGGGGAAAGCAAACTTTTCTAACACTGGAAGGAAAGTTTTTAATTATTCTTCTTACAATAATAGCATGAGAAAGCTGAAGCTTTCAGAAGCCATAAGGAGATCCCTGGGAGAAGGTCACCTGCACAAAAATTACAAATTAAAGGAGATGGACTAGACCAGGAGGGGGAGGGAGCAAAGTCATTGCCTAAGCCTGCAAAGGAGAGCAGCAGATGAAATGGATGAGTTGTCTCATGTTTCACCCAGGATGATATGTAGGGGTTGCACCTGAAAATACTTCTACTGCATTCCCTATTTTTATGTCATCTTGACATAAGGCAGATTTGGCAGAAAAGGTATTTATGTAATGGTTTCATGCCATAAAAAAAAAAAAAAGTCAAGTATCTAAAAGTTAACTAAAAGTAGTGCTGTTTGCCTCTAGGGTTTTTACATAGGTTTTAAGATCAACTTAAACATTAGATGGCTGCTGAAGAATACTGATGGATCCCTCTGCATTGCTCTCTGTCTTCACACAAGCATGACCTGATTCTCCCAAAGTGCTGCAGCAGCTGCTGCTCTGGTGCCACAGACACCTGGTATCCTGCCTCCATCAGTGACAGATTTTTGTGAGAAGAATATAAGAACAGAAAATCTTTGCAGACTTCTAGATCTAGAGACCTGCACTGGACCAGGGCATGTTTTAGCTGCTGATGGGCCAGAATTTGTCTTTGAACCAGTTTAAAATCTCAGTATCCACAACATTCTTTGCCAGTGCATTCTCTTCATCTGCGTGCTGTGTTTAAAAAGTAACTCTTTATATTTATTTTAAATCCACCATCTGGTGACTTCACTGGATGGACTCGGAAGCTCTTTCTCTTGAGAAAAAAATTACTAGTTTTTATTCATTTCATTGCTGTTCCCAAGTTTGCAAACCCTCCACTATACCACATACACCCACTCTCATCTCTGCTTATCTGTGAAATTGTACTTTTTTCAGTGGTTTACCAGAAGGAAACTGTTTTCTACTTCTGATTATCATTTTAGCTGTCACTTTACTTCTTACAATTCCATTATATCTTTTGAATACAAAGTAAGTGGAGTTGCAAGGTATTCAAGAGCAAAGGCTCTTCTTGCCCTTCTAATTTCAACTGTTAATGTAGATATTTATCCCCACTAACCAGAAGGAAGGGTTCAGTCTTTTTTGAAGGCATCATTCAGTTGCAAGCCTCTATGAAATTTTTATAAGAATAGTGGGATGGCCTGCAGAAATAGGCTTTGTGGAGTAACAAATTTTGATATTTCTTGCAATAATAACGAAAGCAAGTTCAGTTCTATTAAAAAAGAATTCCAGACTTTGACAGCAAAATCCTGTCTGTGGAAACAGGCCACGTTTCAGAGAAGGATCTTTGTTTTAAAACGTTGTCCCAGTTTCAGTGAGTGTCCTGGTAGTTCTGTATTTACAGGACTGCTCCTATGACACTGGTTGAATTCTTTTTTTTCCTGGGACTTGAGCAGCCAGCAAACTGAAATTTTCCTGCTTTCTTCTGCAGCCTCTGGAGCCTTCTGCTGCTCTGGGTGTGGGAGACCATCCCATTGCCAGTGAAGAGAAGTCAGCCACCAACCTGGCAGCCAAACTGTTCCTTCTTGATGACTTGGTGTCTCTGGAGAATGAGGTGACTGAGACCAAGAAGAAAAGGAGCTTCCCAGGATTTGGCTCCCCCATTGACAGAATTTCCTCATCCTCTCTGGATGCTAAAGGCAAACAGAGGTAAACCCTTAAATGCTCCTGCCAGTGATAAAGTTGGAGGAAGGCTGTTGCTAGGTGCTCTGGACACTGATGGGTTAGCTTTAAAATGTAGTTTAAAACTACATTTCTGGCCATGAGCTTTGCTAAAGCAAGAAATGTGCCTGAGGTTCACAAGGAGAGGGGCAGGGCTGGGTGCTCCTGAGACTGGGATGGAAGGAAGGTGTGGTGGAGTGGATGTTTTGAACAGAAAGATGAAGGACACATCATGAAAATGGGCAGGCAGACAGTAGGATGAGCTTCAAGACCTCCATTAGCTTTGGATAAGTCAGGGTTTAAACAATGCAGCAATGTGTGTTTGAAGATAAACAGGGCTCAGCAAAGAATGATGCTCAATGTGGCTGGGGAGAGACAGAGTTTGGGGCACAGCTTTGGGGGCTGTTCCCTGTGTCTGACAGAGCTTGCCTGTCTTGTTCTGCTCTTCTGGTAACTGTCTTCTCTTGGATGGAATCCCTAATGCCACAAAGTATTTAATAACATGCTTAAAGCTTAATCTGGAAATGGAAAGTATTCATGAGAGCCAGTCAATATTACAAGTATTTTTTCAAACAAAGTTTTGCAATATTTTCTTGTTGTTTTTCCATTTATCCATCCAGTCTGCCACTAGGACTGTTTGGCTGCAGCCAAAACTGATAAAATACAAAATTCTTAAAACCTTAAGTAGAATTATTCTGTTCTGTCTGCCTCTTCAAGATATCAAAATCAGCTCACTCTTCATTTGCTTTTTAGCATGTTTTCCCTTTCCAGGCAAAGAAAAAAAAGGTAATTTTTGAAGCTGTAATTTTGTGCAAAGGCACATGGTGTTCCAAATTTTTCTCCTTTTTTTTGGATGGAAATCTTTCATTCTATATGCAGCACAAGGAAAAAACTAAACAAAGAAACGAACAAAAAAATTCCTCAAAACAATGGCAAAAAGCAAACAAACAAAAAACAAAGAGGGAAATGGTGGTGAAAGCAGTTTGTCTCTGAAAAATGAGCTCAGGAAAACAAGTGGCACACTGCACAAAATTCCCCCTTTCCCAGCAGCATCAGCACAGTTTGCAGTTCTGAGTTGGGATTATCACTTTGGGGGAGCTGTTTACCCTTTAAGTTTGGGGTTGAGCCATTTATTAGAGGCACCTGAGCTGCTTTGATCAGTGCAGTGATAGTCTGACACCACCAGCAGCATGGACCACAGATCAGATGGATGATATGGAAGAGTAGTAAGGCTTTTGATAGAGAAGTACCTTCAGATAGAAACAGGTAGAGGCTGCTGCACTTGGAAGAGTAAGTGTGTCAGCCTGTCCCAGGCTCAGCCAGCAGATCACAGCTCATTCCTGTACCTTTAGAGACCAGGAAACAAATTTGTGAGAGCTGATAAACAGATTGAGCCCCCCGAGTCAATGCAGTGTGTGCAGTGCCTGGCACAAAGCAGAAACTTTTGGAAAAGAGCAGATCAAATGTTTGGCCACTTCCCAGCTCGTCCTGACACCCACTGATGTCAGGAGAGCCCGGATCCTGGTCTGCCATCAACACCGGTTTGTAGCGCTTTGAAAAGCACGGGAAAAGCGTGCAGGAGGCAGGAGAGAGAGAAAGATCCACATCAGACTGAGAGAAAGAACCTGCGGGAATCCTAGACAAGGCTGGTTTAAGTAGAAAAAGCCACTTTGTCCCTCGTACGCCGCGGCACGGGGACGCTGCGGAGCGGAGCGGCGGGGCTGCCGTGGCGCGGGGCGGCCGCAAGAGGGAACGATGGGCAGCGCTGGGAGAGCCGCTCATCCCTGCTCTGAACACAGAATGGCACTGGGACTGCTCCTCATCCCTGCTCTGAGCGCTGGGAGAGCTGCTCACCCCTGCTCTGAACATAGTATGGCACTGGGAGAGCTGCTCATCCCTGCTCTGAGCGCTGGGAGAGCTCCTCATCCCTGCTCTGAACACAGAATGGCACTGGGACTGCTCCTCATCCCTGCTCTGAGCGCTGGGAGAGCTGCTCATCCCTGCTCTGAGCGCTGGGAGAGTTCCTCATCCCTGCTCTGAACATAGTATGGCACGGGGACAGCTGCTCATCCCTGCTCTGAGCGCTGGGAGAGCTGCTCATCCCTGCTGTGAACACTGGGAGAGCTGCTCATCCCTACTCTGAGCGCTGGGAGAGCTGCTCACCCCTGCTCTGAGCGCTGGGACTGCTCCTCATCCCTGCTGTGAATACTGGGACAGCTCTCCATCCCTGCTCTGGGCACACAGAATGGCACTGGTACAGCTCTCCATCCCTGCTCTGGGCACACAGTATGGCACTGGGACAGCTTCCATCCCTGCTCTGGGCACACAGAATGGCACTGGTACAGCTCTCCATCCCTGCTCTGGGCACACAGTATGGCACTGGGACAGCTCCCCATCCCTGCTCTGGGCACACAGGATGGCACTGGGACAGCTCTCCATCCCTGCCCGGGGCACAGAGCATGGTCCTGGTACAGCCCACGGGGCAGAAGCACCGCCCCGCCCCAGCCTCGCAGTCCCCTTCCATTCCAGGGAGTTCACTCCCCTTTTCTCCAGCAGGCTCGGGATGGCTCTGACAGCCCAAGTGTCCCACCTGTGCCTCCCCACCTGCAGAGAAAGCAGCTCTTCCCTCGAGGTGACAGGCTGAGCATCCTGGCTTTCCTTCCCTTTGCCTTCCCCAGGGCTCGGGGCAGCAGTGCTGGATGCCTGAGGAAGGAACAGGCCAAACAAAAACTCCCCTTCCTTTGGGATGTTCTCCAGCTGCTCCAGCACTGATGTGGTGCTCCCCTCACAGGGGATACACCACCAATTCCCAACCCCTGAGCTCGTGTGGAAAGCAGCTGGGACACAGCCAGCAGGGCTGTGGATGCTGGAATGATGCATTGGATGGAATGGTGCATTGGATGGAATGGTGCATTGGGCTGGAATGGTGCATTGGACTGGAATGGTGCATTGGATGGAATGGTGCATTGGACTGGAATGGTGCATTGGATGGAATGGTGCATTGGACTGGAATGGTGCATTGGATGGAATGGTGCATTGGGCTGGAATGGTGCATTGGATGGAATGATGCATTGGATGGAATGGTGCATTGGGCTGGAATGGTGCATTGGATGGAATGGTGCATTGGATGGAATGGTGCATTGGATGGAATGGTGCATTGGATGGAATGGTGCATTGGATGCAGCCCCTGGCCCAGAGGTGTGAGGAAGGAGCCTGCTCAGTGAGCCCCAGGGCTGCACAGCTCTGGGTGGGGTGTGCACAGCCCCAAAGCCCCAGGGTGAGGCAGCCCAGCAGTGCTGGCACCAAGTTAGCCTCCAGTGCACCACAGCATTCTCTCCTGCTTGTTACTTAGCAGTTGCCAACTTTCAGAACAAAATTTATTTTTATTTATGCTCCTCAACAAGGACCGATAAAGAATTAATCTTCCAGGGCTTCTCTTGGACTTGCACTTCACTGACAAGTATTTCTAAGGGCAAAAGTTGAGGTCGTTCTCAGCTGCAGGAATTCTAGTCATTCCCACAACTAATTAAAATAAAACTTCTGCTGGTGGAAAAAAATGCTCCAAAAATGCTGAATTAAGATGGGGAAACGTATTATTTTATATAAAAAGAACTGCAAAAAAAATATAGCTGTGTAGAAATTCTTTCACACATTCCTCATGCCCTAATTCATCAAATTGTCAGGAAATTTACCATATACAGGAAAAAAAATCAACCCCTAAATCTTCCCATTTTCAATCAAAGGACTGCTGCTATAGAATTTTGATGAACACTGCATTGCCAAAGAACCTATAGAAAAACCTTGTCAGGCCATCTCTGACTTTTCCCCTCTTACTGTGCAATACTTTCCTCCTCCTCCTTGCTAATCCTGGCCCCAGCTGGCCCTGGAGCTTCCAGAGACCCAGTGATGGGTCACCTGCAGTGTGTGCTACTGTGCAGGAAACAATCCCCCTTTATAAATGCAGTGTATCACCTTTCTTTTATGAATAGCAGTTAACCTGTGAAGTCAGTTTGCTGCCAAATAAAAATAGGGGTAGTGGATCAAGCTCAGCCAGTCTGTAAAACAGCTGCAACTGCAGCCTTTTGTAAGACAAGTGCAGCATCTTATTTTTAAACTCTCAAATCTTCGGCTGCTCCTGCACACTGTTCTACCTGAACAATGAGATATTAGTGGGATGAATGCAGGAATCAAACATGTGGTAACACCTTGATTATTCATAGATGTCTTTCCCCATTTGTTTCCCTCCCTCTCTGCTCATTTTCCTGGTGCAGGAAAGTGCTGGAGCTGCCCAAGAGAAGGTTTGGAGTTCCTCTGGACCGGATTGGAGTGAGCCACCTCGGTGATACCAGGGCTTAGCAGCTCCTGCAGGTAAGCCAAAGCATCCCAGCTCTGGGCAGGCTTGGAGAACCCAGGTGTTCTCTGCTGCTGGGGGTGCTCAGTCATGTCAGCAGGCTTGGGGAATGATGGCTTCTTATAACATGGAATGCCCTAATTTCCCACTGAGTGCCTCTCTACAAGCAAACAAGTATTCCTAACATTTTAATCTCCTCCACTCCACCTTACAGCGTGTTTGCCCAAGCCTTGCATTTCTGACATTGGAAAATGTAATGTTTACTACTTTTTTTTTTTTTTTTTGCCTACAGATGCTTCTATTCTGAATCAGTGATGCTGTATTGGAAACATTACAGAGTTTTGGAAGATGCCTCACAGCATGTCTTGTCTTTGCCTAATGATACAGCACTCAAGGAATTGACCTCCTGCAAAATCTGTTTCAAGTTGCATTTTACAAATGTTGTATTTACAAATAACATGTTCAGTTCATCAGGTCAGAATGCTCACAGCTGTGCACAATGTCACTGGTAGGAGGGAACAGAGAATATGTATATATTTTTATTGCATGGCATTTATCTGTTAAACTTGCAGAATTTTATTATCCCAGGCCAGACTGAGATTTTTTGGATTGAAAATAAAACTTCCAGAGATGCCAACAGCAGTCCATGAAAAGCAGAGAGTTTGCTTTGCACATTCCTTTCTGGAGGGGAGCTGACCAGTAGATGAAGGGAGGATATAGCAGTTATGGGACAAAGCTAGAATGCTTTTGAACTGCTGTTTGGGAGGAGATGTTGTCTGCCCTCACCAGGAGTTACTCTGAATAAGAACAGTGACAAGACCTTAGTATTTGTCCTGATGTTTTGAGTAGTCTCTCTCTTATCTCTGCACCATATTTAGACATGTTTTCATCCTATAGCAGATCCTGAACTGTGGTGAGACTTTTAGTTGATGAATACATTTCACCCCTCCCTATGCATAACATAGGATAGTGTCCAAATATGAGGTCATCCTCTTCCAAGGCCATCTGCATCTTATGCCTTATTTTAGCCTCTTGATGTGTGCACAGGGCATGGTCAGAATCCAGCTCTAAAAGTTCAAGTATTTCTCACTCTGGTAAAATGTAAACATGTCCTCTCTACTTCATTTCAGGGTAAAACAGGTTATCTTAAATCCTCTTTCATCCTTTTCACTTCTTTCCAGATTATAAAGTACAGCTGAGAAGAGCTCTCTGCTGACATCTCAGTGCTCAGATTCCTAGCTGATGTTGTCTAAACCTTACATTCTCTCTCCTTCTTGGACTGGTCCATATCAGCTAAATTCCTTGGATTGCTATTCTGGGGTATAAATCATCCTTAGCATTGCAAAAGAAGATCCATTGAGAAAGGGATTATGCAGGATTAAGGAAAAAAAAGTTATTCTTGCCAAACAGCCTGTGTTAGGCAGTAAGCAATGCTGGAGATGGGAATTAAGTGTAAATTTCCTGATCTTAAAAAAAAAAAAAAAGTATTTGGCAAATCAATGAGACTTAAAAGCTGTTGTGAGGGTTGGGACTTTGGGACAATTGCCCTGGTTCAGCTATGGTGAGAGATGAGGCTCCCACTCAGAAGAGCAGGTAACATCTAATTCATGTGCTCAGACATAGCAGGGGCCTTTTCCATTTCCCTCCTTGCCTACAGCCCTGCCCAGAGACCAAGACTGGCCCAGGCATAGGAAATTTGCAAGAAACTTCACTTTTATTGATATTTCTAATATAGGCTGATGCTGCTGAGAGCAGCAGCACAAACCAGTGACTCACATCAAGAGATGTCCCTATCTTTGCCATCTGCCAGAGCACTGGGGCTGAGTTAGGAGATCATTCCCCCTTTGGTGGGTGAGCTGTCTGTCCTTGTATGTGAGCTGAAGCACTGCAGATGCTTTCCAGACCAAGCTCTCAGAGGTCAGAGAAAAGAAGAAGGCCTGTAAGTCCATATGTGATGATGTTGGGTTTTTGCTTCCTGCTTTTCTCCTGGTCATGCTGCTAATTTTCTGCCTTTAAGCCTCCAGGTGCAGGGTCTGAGAGCTGGGCTCAGTGGGTGCATGTAGACTGACTCAAGAGTTTCAGCCCATGCTAGAAGCAAGCCTGCAAGGGCAGTGCCAGGCAGTCAGAGCTCTGCAGTCATTGCCACCATCCATCCTCAGCCTGCCTTGCAGTTTAGGGAACATTTATCTTCTTGCACTGAGCTCATCCAGACAGGCTGCAGATAATCTGCTTGCAGGGCAGCCATATGTATGGGGCATGGGCAGATTATGGAAGTGGTGACCTGACCACTCAAACAGCTGCCAGTCAAAGAACCATGGCCAGAGTCAGTGCCTGACATATTTTTGGAGACTGAGAGCAGAGGAATCTAGTGCAAACACAGCAGCTTTGCAAAGACACTGCTGGATCATAGAAGTATTTAATAATTGGCAAGTATTAGGCAAGGCTTCCAAAGAAAAAAAAAAGCAGAGTTTTAAAGGCTGAAAGTTGTGTGCAGAAATGGCCCTCATCTGAGGGGAAATGTGAAAGCAAAGCAGGACACAGGGGTCTCTGGTGGTGTTGGTAGAACTGGGAGCTGGAAGCTTCAGTCCTGCTCCCACCCCACTGTGTGGATTACCTGGGAGAAAGCAACAGTCTTTCTGTTCTTTTGCCTCATCAGTCACTGAGCACATGGAGAGTTCCTGTGGCTCAAGAAGCACTCTTTAAAATCTCTAAATTGGCAAGTGCTGTTTCAAGCATGATGATGTCTGAAAGGCCAAACACCACAATTTCATTTTCTAGACAATGTTGGATGGCTTCAGCCCTAGTGCACAGCATGGAGATCAGGAAATGTGAAATGAGGATTAATTGCAGCATCCATTGCACACTAGACTTGCCCTGTGCTGCCTGGATTTGCAAATCCATTCAGATGTCTGTGAGGATTTTCTCCTAATAAATCCACATGATCTACTGGAATGTCTCAGGGAAATCCCTTTAATTATTGCCTGTGGGTCATTAACTTTAGCAAGAGTGGCTGCCCAAGCATGGGTAGGTTGTGAGCAGCCACTCTGTGGAGGAGAAGGGATTCTGCTCTGTGTGTTCAGGAGAAAGGACAGGACCCTCACACTGCCATGTCGAGGGTAAGCCTGGGGGAAACTCCACCACCTCTGCTTCTAATTAGTTAATAAATTGCATTCAATACATGCTGATGTCTGCAATACAAGCAGCTAATACAGCAGCATAGAGTGCCTGCCAGGAAATAGGGGCAGTTTGGGTACCACAAGCACTTAAATAACCACACTGATAGGATGTAGCAGAAAATCACTACTAAGCAGCATGATGCATTGCACTCCAGGGAACTCCTGTCTAAGGTCAAAGCAAGCTGTTAAATATCTGCAGACACAGTATTCATTCTCCTGGCTTGCTGTTGAGCTGTCACACTGGCTCAGGAAGGCATGGCTACAGCAAGCAGGTGGCAGATGGAGCCTGCTGCTCTGGCCTTTCCTTACGCTGGGATTTCCTGCAAGCTGAAATCATCTGAGCTCAACACCACCTTGGGGCACTCAGTGCAACTCTTGGAACACACCTCCCTTTCAGCTGGAGCACCAAACTTTTAAAGAAAGAGAGAGACTATTCTTGTCCATAGGTTATAAATTTTTCCTGGATTTGGTGCCAGTGTGAGGGTATGGGAAAGCGTGTTCCCACAGACTTTTTCACTCACACAAAAGCAACAAAGAACAAATGGGAAATGGGTTCTGAATCACCACCAAAGAAATAAAAAACAACTAATGGTAACAGGAAACTGTATTTTGCATGTCATTAGAACTCACTGATATAATCAAGCAAGCTGGCCTTATTCCCTAGATGCTGGCTTTGGCCTGCAACAGGATGGATAGGATTCCTGTTAATGAAGTGCATGCAAGGTACTGCTGTGGTAAGCGTGTGCTTCTTGCCAGAGCCCAAGGCAATGAGTGTAGGATGGCAATTACAGCTTTGGGAGAGGTAGCTTTGGAAGAATATGTAATATGCAAACTGCAGTTAAATCACATGGCTCAACAGAACTGGAGAGACAGTTCAATGCTAGTCAAAATCATTCCACACATTCACAGTGGCTACCAGATCCTGCTGTCATTTAGGTTGTTGGAAACCTCAAAGTTAGCATTGGGATCTATTTTGAATTTACATTTTTGGGAATGAGGTCCTTTGCTTTTGCGAATAAATATGGATAATGTGACTTGAGATGAATATATGTAGGAATCACTAATGGATTGTGATCTTTTCCTTTTGAACAGGGCCAGATATAATTCTGCAGTAGAAAAGGCCAGCTAGCACCTGCATTGACCAGCCAGATTACCAAAAATCTCTGCTCAAAGCATCTCTTTGGGGTGAGTAGGTAGAGACCATTGGGTCTGGTCCAGTCCAATGAGGGCAATATCCCATAAATAGCTATAAAAAAGACTCAGCTCTCATTCCTGATCCTGGCCAAAAGGATATCTGTTTCTCAGGCCCATTAAACCCCTCGGTGTTTAATGGGAGCCTTTCTTCCATTGTGAACTCCACATGAACCATTAAGGTAACAGGAGCCAACATCAAGGGAAATGTGCTGCACTTTGGGTCCCTGCAGGGGCTGAGAAAGCAAACACTGAGAAACACATGCTTCTGTGCAACAGAAAATCTTTATTGGAATGGTATCCAAAGGATCCAGAGCTCACTGCCTGCCCTCCCCTGCGCACACTGCGGGACACGGCGAGGAGCAGCCCTGGCTCAGCACCCCAGCCCTGAGCCCTCCACATCGCACCCAGCCTGCCTTCATGTCCCAGCAGCGGCCACCAGGGCAGCTCAGAGCTGCTCAGGAGGCGACAGGAAAAGCCCAGGCACCGCTGGGAGCAGCGTCTGCAGGTGTGGGCAGAGCCCCAAGCCCGGGGAAGCTGAGTTAGTGCTCAGTGCCTCAGGGGACCTGGTGAGGAGGGGGAGAGTGTACAGTGACAGCAGCCTGAATGGCACACACAGGACAGCACAGAAAGTTGGGAAGCATCTTCTCAGTAGAAGATCATGGCAGGTTAAACCTGGAAGGAAGGAACAGTAGAGAGTGGCAGGGGGCTGCCAGCTCCTGCCACGGCCCCTGTTGGACTTGGCTGTGGTGCAGTCATGGAGGATGGCTTCCAGATTAGCAGCACGATGAGGGAACAGAACAAACTCTTAACGTGTTGATACCCAGCAAGGCAGTTTGGGGAAGGGCTCGTCTTCATCCTCCAGTCCTGACAAACCTTCAGATGCAGTATTTCCAAAAGCAGGCTGTGAAGGGATACCAAAGGAAGATGTCAGCATACAAGGGAATTTTTCCAGCTTCCCACTCTAGCCCTGGAGAAGGTCAATAACATCTCAATAACCAGCTCTGAGTTCATATAACACTTCTAGAAGGTGTTTCTTTTAGCTGTTCATAGTGTAAACATGGGGTCTAAAAGTTGTCATGTTGCTTGATTTAAAAGGTTTCCTTTTCTTCTACTTCAGCGATGTCAGGAACTGGCTTTTTATTTCCTGTGCACTGGTCAGCAGTTTTGCTGCTTCAGAGGTGTGTGCAGGGCTTTGCACCTGTGGCTGACTGGAAGAGCAGGATACTGACTTGGACAGATTAGATCTGGTTCTAACTTATTTTAAACCCACTCACTACCACTCTGCT